TAGGTCATTGTTGTCCATATAAGGTCATTATGTGTTTTAAATATGTTTTTAAGTGTTCTTTAATTGCTTCAGCTTTTTGAATGTTTGTGTAGGCGGTTTTTTCGTCGTACATTAGTGTGGGGCAGGTTTTGTGACTACTTGTGTATCTTTCAAGATGTTTCCAGAAGTGTTGTGGGTCATCCTGTTCATTTAGTTTAGCACAGAATGATCCACAGTTTCTTGTTTTCATTCCTTATGTTTGAGTGTGTTGATCTGTGTTTTTATGTCTTATATTTATATACAGTTTACGTCGTTCTTTAAGCATGCCTGTTATACCTGTTTTCAAGTGTTGTAGTCTTTGTGATGATGTTTAGGTATTGCTATTTCTCCTGCTTTTGTAATACACTCAGTTTATGGTTGTATGTTTGGTGTTGTTGGTAAGGTAGGTCTTTTGTATTTCTCTTTGTGGGTCTGAAAGTGTTTGTTTCTCCAGTATGTTGTGTTTAATATATTAAATGTGTGTCTTAACCTGCTTGTATTTGGCACACCTTTTATAGTTGTTTCTGTGTGTCGTTGCAGTATAGTGGGGAATTATTTTCTTTTTTTGCACTGTGTAATTAGATGGTCTCCCCCACAACCCACGCATCGTGGGAGAGACTTGTACAATTGAAACCCTATGTGACGACGACGGCTGGCGTTTTCGCCTCCTCCACCGTGAACTTACGATACCAAAGGTTAACCCCGTTTATGATGAGTTCAATGATGTTAGTAATATCTCGTAATCTTGATCAGGTTAGTGGGTTTCTGTGCCCGAGCGGATATGATGCGTTGTACTTTCATGTATGTGATGCTACTGTGATCCATTTCTTCTTGTATGTGGACATTTATGTCACGGATGAAAACAGCCTTAGTCTGTGGCCTTGTTCCAGGAAGGTGAATTGTAATACGATCTGGTTTAAAAGCGTCTTCCAGCCATTCTTTTAACAGGGTATTAAAATTGGAAATGTTCGCGCCCTGAACGAGGATACTTCCCCTGGGTAGTCGCTTCACTATAGGTGTACACCTACGTTACTCCGCCGCCAACTAAAGTGCCATGTATGTGTCTGGAACACCTGAGATTATAATGCTGTACTTTGGTTTTTCTTTTTTTTTTATGCGTTTTGTGGTTGTACTTGATGTACTTTCTTTTCCCGCTCTTTCAAATCTCGTGGCTTTCTGATCAAGTCTTCTTAACAATGGTCTGGGCTTGGAGATGCTCAAACAATGAATGCACTCAAGGATCATCGCCTTTGATGATGATTACGAAATGATTCAGTGTTTATTTGTTTGTTTTTTCTCCATCCCCTGCCGAATAATATTACGTAGCATTATTTTATGAAAGTTCCTGTGGACGTTAAACTCCCACAACTTTTTACTCGGAGACGGGAGCATTACATATAAAATTTAAAAAGTTGTTTAATCAAGATTCATGTTACTAATCACTTTTTCTTAAGAAAATATACATATGTTAAACAACAGAGGGCAGTATAGTCGTAAGACATTGCCCAGAAAATTGCATAAATTACAGAGAAATTCTCAACTGCTAGATGTTTTCCAATATTTACTAAACATTTTTTTTATTATTAAAAGGGGTTTAGTAAACACTGATTATTTGAAAGATTAAGAAGTATTAAAAAGTATATAAAAATTAAACATTTTAGTTGATAAATGATTTAGGAAACAACTTGATTACACTAGCGAGAGCGAAGTTTTGGTTTAATATTCTTAATGTATCTCATTCTATTTCCACCTGCTGGTGGCTCAGCGGCAAGTCTGATGTTTTATGACACTAAATATCGGTGGGCACATCACAACTAGCCCATTGTGTAGCTTTGTGCTTAATAAAAAATACTCTACTGACATAAAATAATACATCTTAGGGTGTTAGATATATCTTTTGAAATGTTAATTAGTAGAGTAATTGGCCCCCCTTGCAACAATCATTTCAGAAGATCACTATAAATGATTAATTACAAGTGTTCAACATAGAGATGAACATATTTCTAAATTACAATGGAGCTTCGTATTAACAAACATTTTTCTTTTGACGTCTTAGAGAATTTTAGGCATTATAAAATATCAGCGTCTTACTTTTGTCTGCCAATAAATGATTCATAAGTAATTATGTATAAAATTAGAACATTTTACGTGTACAAAACAGTCAAATTAGAATAAAGGGGGCAGCCGTAAAAAATGATATAAAAAGAAAAAAAAACAACTTATATAAAAGGGCAAGCCTATAAATATGTAATTGAAAAATGAGTAAGTTAAACAAGCAAAGATTGTGGAATAAGTTGAGTGACAATTTGAGCTCATTTTGATATGATGTAAATCTGGAAAAAATACAGTTAATACGAAACTAAGTAGTTTAAGAAATAATTTCTGAATGTTTGTTGTGAAGCGCAAACTACACAATGGGCTATCTACTCTGTGCCAACCACGGATATAGAAACCCGACTTTTAGCTTTATTAGCCAATCAAAATTACAGGGGGGGGGGGTATCCAGTTCCGATTGATGAGTAAAGTAATTCAATCAAAAATATGTAACTATAATAAATAATTTGTGGTAAAATAAATGAATAATATGGATTAATAATCTTTACCTTAATTCTGATTTAGCTATTACTCACATACAATAAGTAACAGTTACTGTTCATACAGTTTGGTAGTACAAATAGTTTATCAACCACTGCCTGAGGAGTCCTGGTATTGGCAGAAACAGTATGGTTGACATATTGTTATTCATTCTTCTGTACTTTCACTCGTATAATTTATTTGAATAATATTACCTTCTTTTTTTAAATTAGTAATCTGTTTAACTTATGTTTATCTCAAGCTATTAATCTTCTTCTAGAATCTTTATCTGAGTGATTACTTTGAACCAAAAACTTGCTTGAAGTTGAGGTAATCGTAAACCTATAATTTATGATGGGGAACAAAGTGGATGTTGCCTTCCCCCTTCCTTTGTTCCGACACTTATGTTTTGAACAGGCAATGAATATGTGGTATATTAACTGATGGAAAATTTATTTTTTCGTGCCTTTTAATAATAAAAAAACAATAATTTCTATATATCTTATATTTTTAGGAGTTAAATCTATGTTGATTAAAGTATATTTTTTACTTCAGCAGTATCATACGTTCCGTTTAAAATAAATTAATATCCTTGTGGACATAAACAAGTGAGCAATGTTTCTGTCTAAATCAAAATTTAATCATTTCAAACACTACATCTCTCAAGTTGTGCAAATCGATGTTCCTAGATTTCCTATTATTTTAATTATACCATACTTGTTTTTGTCATCTTCTTTTAAGGAAGAAACTATACAAATTTCTATACCTGGTGCTGAGCCTAGCATGACCTAATAGTTCACGTGCCAGGCAGCATATCGGAAGGTCCAAAGTCCGATCTACGTTGCCATTGGACATGTTTCGCACTCTCAGATATGAGTGTGTTATAACAACGACAGTCAATCCCGTTGTTTAGTTCCAGTAACTGGACAGATCTTTTGTGACGACAAGTGCTTCTCACTGGCAGCTCTTCCTCTGCTCTGAGCCCAAGGGGTATCTGAACTGCCCATTCAGAACATGTGCACATAAGGTGTCATTCATATTGAAAACAACCATACTGTAATTTTTGGTCTTCAATTTGAGGTTAGTCCACATGAAAAAGAACTCCTGAAACCCTTTCTGGACAAATCATTGCACATCTTTTGACATGTTATTCCGGACCTACCAGGGGTAATTTCGCAACTGGATATTATGTACCAGATTTAATTAGTTACTTGTTAAACATTCCGATAATCCATCGTCTTCAACTTCAAAGTACCGTCAGTCAGTCATTCTGTAAACTTATCCAGTCTCATTGTTATGTTATTCGTCTTCTTAAACAACATACATTTACACTTCGTATTTTGTGTTTCCTCACTATTTCTAAAATAACTCCGAATTATCAAACATGCATTATTTTCTTAACCTTTTCTATATTCTAGAATTATCGAAAAGTAACTTGCAAATCCATGGACGAAACAACTTCATATTTATTTACGGAGAAATTTCAAAGTGAATCGTTTTTTATGTAATCCGAACAATAATATTTAAAATGTAAACAAGGAAAACGTTTGTAATAACCAGCATGTTACAGGTAGCTTGTCTGTAGAACAATGTAATAATGGAAGTTATCTTCCGATGCTGTGATGTCTTGGGGGCGACATGCAAGATAGTGATTTTGGTGGGAGATGCTGCACTGTTGTCAAAGGAACACGAAGTCGATCGAGTTTTGGTAGTAGTGCTGTTGACTAGCTGTGTTCCTTCTAATTGGTCAAATCAAATTTGAGAACGACTGTGCACTGATATATTTGGTATAGCTTTGTGCTAAAATTCTAAAACTAACTAAGAAAAGGGGTAGTCGTTTCTTCTTTAACCAAAATTGTCTCGTTAATAGGAGTTCTTAAAAAATTCATACAGCAATCTCTTATCTATGAATGTATTCCTTGATTATCACACGGGGTAAAAATCATGAACTTTACCCCACATTTGAAAGTGCTCTCTGACTGGACATTATATAGTTGTCTAGACGAGGCCTTGGAATCAGTATTTAAATAAATAATTAACGGTTCGTAAAGCAAAATTCTAGTTTCATCTAAGTATAGACTCGCGATTTTCTCAGGAAGGGAAGTTTTTAATTACACCCAAGTTTTGTCACGTTAGTTTAAAAGTGGTATGACTATATTATAACAAACCTGCAACATTTGATCATAATTACAAATTGTAACATTACGAGACCGAAAATGTATACACATGATTTATCTCTTTAAATGTTAGTTTAATTACCCTTTACCTTTATCAAACTAAGTTCAAACGCTAATAAAATCCTCGCATAAGCAATTTATTGTAACACAGTTTCATGGTAACTATAAACACCAATCGAATACTACACAGTCACAATTTTTATAGCTAAATAATGCTAAATAGCAACACTTAATAAAAACATATACTTCCGTCGTTTTGTTACATACAAAAAATAGTGAAACCAAATTCAACCTTAGTTTTACAGCATACATTAATGTGTAAACATGAAAGTAAAATAGGCAACCACAGTTTTTCATAACCTGCAGTAATAATATGTACAAGCATCAGTAAAATCGGATACAACCACAGTTTTTCATAGCCTACAGTAATATTATGTACAAGCATCAGTAAAATCGGATACAACCACAGTTTTTCATAGCCTACAGTAATATTATGTACAAGCATCAGTAAAATCGGATACAACCACAGTTTTTCATAGCCTACAGTAATATTATGTACAAGCATCAGTAAAATCGGATACAACCACAGTTTTTCATAGCCTACAGTAATATTATGTACAAGCATCAGTAAAATCGGATACAACCATAGTTTTTCATAGCCTACAGTAATATTATGTACAAGCATCAGTAAAATCGGATACAACCATAGTTTTTCATAGCCTACAGTAATATTATATACAAGCATCAGTAAAATCGGATACAAACACAGTTTTTACGACATGTATTGACGCGTAAACATAAATAATAATAGAATAAGCAATCACAGTTTTTTTGTAACATACAATAATATTAAATACAGACACCTAACAGAATCACATTACATGCGCAGGCTCATAAAGTTATAATTGGTCAGTAATCTTTAGGTCTATTAATATAATATCACACTATTCATCATGATAAATAAAATATTTCTATATCGGCCAATGACATTTAGAAACAACATTCCGCGTAATGATTGGTTAAAACGTTTAGTTTTTATGTGCCTTAATGTACTTGTAATTGGAAAATTTAACCATTCTTGATATATTTTCAAGAAATCAGAAGGCTGCAACTAATGACGAAATAAAGTTAGAGAATTTGTGTTATCATACAATGGTAGAGACGAGCGCCACTCGAACACTCGGTAACACATATGCTTGTTCATATTTTCAAGAAATAGATAAGTTAAGAAGATGGACAAGCAAAAATGTAGGATGATAATTTAAAGAAATAGATTAGTCAAATGTGACAAGGAAGAGAATAAACCTCATGCTTTCTAAGTAGAACTGCGCGGTGACAAGATAGTAGAAACTGTGAGCGACTGAGCAGGCTGGACTTTATGTCCACTACAAATCTTGCTAAGGGCGCTGCTGAACTCACTGTTCCGCCACGTGTACACAATAGGATTAATGAATGAATTGAACTGACAGAAGAAACTGGCAATGATTCGGGCAGTTTGCAAGGAATGTGAGATACCACGTGTCAGCTCCAACAATAGAATAATCACTAAAGGTACCCAACAGATTAAGAGCACTCCAATGACCATGGCTAGAGTTCGGACGTATTTCCTGTCTTTCAACACGGACCAGCTCTTCCGCGGACTATGGAAATAGGATGATGGAAATCCAGGGGGAGACCTTCGGGCCTGATTCCGAGCAACCAGGAATATACGCCAGTAGCAAAACAATATGGCCAGCACGACTAACACGAAGTTAGATGCACAATAAAGTAAGTAATCACGAGATATATTTATCAGTAAGTCACAAACACTTTCATTTAAGGTTGGGGGCTCGTTTAACACAAATACTGCAGCGCCCACTCCAATGCTATAAGTCCAAATCCCACATAAAACAATGAATACTCTGATCTTAGTCATTAGCATCTGATAATATAGAGGGTGGACTACGGCTACTAGCCGGTCAAATGTGATGGCCAATAGACTGTGGATTGAGGCCATCCAACAAGACATCAACATAGCATATCTTAATTTACACGCTGGAATGTACATGGTCACTGTGGGCTTTAGGATGGTCAGCACAATCACGATAATGGAGACTCCAGACAGAGCATCTGAGGCACTCAGACTCAAAAGGAACATGTTTGTGTAAGTCCGAAGATGTGGTGACCTGAGGACCACGACTCCCACCAGGATGTTCCCTGCAAAAATGGAAATCATGAGCACCGCCTCAATAATAACGGTCACTGCAAAATAGTCGGTGAGAAGAGAAGAATATAATGACCACCAGTCAGAGCTGTTGTCAACCACCGTAACGTTTAGGGAAGGATTTGCTCTGATAGTTGAAGGGTAAGAGGGTAACGGAAATGGAAGCATAATTTAACTTTCGAAATGTTTCTTGCTCTGGAAAATGCAATTGTGAAAATGAGATAAAATATCTCTTGAACATAAACTTTATAGCACAACGTGTTATGAAAGATGTGTTGTTGTTCTTTACACTGTTGTATATCGGTTTTGTCAGTGAAACAAACTTATGCCTTGTAGAGGTCTCAGCGTCTGTAAACAAGTTGAGTGATACCGAGATACAGGTTTCAACCTTTTCAACGGTTATTCTTCTTTTTCCATTTGTGTTCCTGCAAAAGTTAGAAAAAAATATATAATTTTCTTATGAAACTCGAGACTAGATTACATCCTAAAATCAGTAAAGTAATTACAATTATTTTTCCAGGGAAAGAAAATAATGTTTGTTTGTTTTCAATTATGCACAAAGCTACACAAGGGCTATCTGTACTCTGCCCGCCACGGGTATCGAAACCCGGTTTCTAGCGTTGTAAGTCCGCAGATATAGCGCTGTGCCACTGGGGGACAGAAAATAATGCGAAATGCTTGAACTAAACTAAGTATTGTACTTAAGGTATCCTTTTTTTTAATATAGTAAAACCATAAGTTCTCTGTTGCTTGTGTGAGCCAATTAATAGTTTTGTTATGAATATTATATATATATATGATTGTATTTGTTTCTATTTTACAAATAATTTGTTTGATGTTAAGCAAAAAAGATACACAATGGCTATCACTGCTGTGCCTACCACGAGTATCGCAAATTGGTGTTTCGCATTACAAGCCTTCAGACTCACCGCTGAGCCACAAATAAAAATTGTTAAAATACTCATATAAAACACCAATTACAACATGTAACACAATAAAATTGCATGATTTTTTTTATTTAAATAGTTCAGTGACAGAGCTCAGTATCATTATATTTCTATGATTTATTATATAATTAAAAACTATAAGTTAAATTTTGTTAAACACGAGGAGAATTTTGATTAATGATTCAGTCAATAATAAACTGAAAAATAAAATCTGGGGAACAAGTTAAATTCAGACAAAAGCCTTTTGATTCTTCGTGTAGTTTTAATTGTTGGTTTTAATTTCTTCCCAACTATCCAGTGGCTCAGAGGTAAGTGTGAAGACTTAATAATTCTAAAAATCGGGTTCCAATACTCGCTCATTGTTTGGGTAATTAATTAATCAACTAAGATACATTTTAAAATAATTCTGTCTATGTTTAAAGTGTAGTTCATACTTAACGTTAAATTGTTCAAACTTTTATAGTCTATTAAAAATTACAACTTGTATCATAACATTGCAACGTTTCACTGAATAAAGAAACTTGTTATTTTCAGTTTACGTTAGTGGATCAACGGTAAGCTTCAGGGCTTAATAAGGTTTGAAATCTGAGTTCGATTTCCACGGCATACACTGTCCAGCTTTGTGTTAAAACATTATGTGCAGCGTTAAAGCTTCCATAACAATGTTACTGGTGGTCTTTACATAAAACATCTAACAAATACTTACCTGTGACATAGAACCTTAACTAGTTCCTCTCAAAGGTTTTCAAGAAATATCTAACTTCGAATTCTAATGTGTATTCAGACTTCTTGTCAAAGAATGTTAGGAAATACTGGTAAAATAAAATATAAAACCAGGAGTTCGACTTCAACATTGTACATAATCACAAACTGTCATGAACAATGACTTTTCTAATTCACACAACGAAACAATGTTAAATCTACTTGAAAATGTTTTGTCAGAGAGGAAACAATTCATAGTTCCGACTTCGATTTTATCTAGAACCAGATGAGCACAAGTAGCAGAGTGAGTTAGTCAACTCTTGCTTCATTCTGTCTAACACTTTTTTTTTACAAGCATTTAGTTTTTTCTGTGTTTTGTTTGTTTGCTTATAAATCACCACGCGGCAAATCTTGAGTCAAATCCCTGAAAGTTTCCGATTTATTTAAATTTGATACACGTTTTCATATTTAGAAAATCCTCGGATACGTATTTCTGAACATTTATTTAGTCGCCGCCGTTTGTTGTTACCGCTTTATGTGAGAATCAAACACCTGTTTCACTCGGATACGCTGTTTTGTAAAATGGTAAATCCTCACACTTCACGGTAACTATTTTACAAGTTTTACACTTAGATACTTAGTGTTGTCGCTCATAAATCAGACAGGCCACCGACTTATCCTAAATACATCATCACATAAAGTCCTTAACACACTGCGCTTGAACTAGCTTTGACCTTTAAAGTGAACCGAAAAAGCTGTAGAGTAGGAAAATGACGTAGGTTGTCATCTATATGAAATAGATTATTTCGGTCTCAAGGCAGAGTAGGCTTAACAAACTCCATCTTTATCACAAAGAAAGGTATAAAGTCTGTGTTCAATAGACCTCATCTATACTCTACATAACATCTTCTTATCAGACCCTTGATAACATTAGACACAAACTAACAATACATACCGTTTTAATTTCGGTGTAAAGTGGACGGTAAATCCAGTATTTATTATTTCTCACTTTGTCAAAGTTCTTTTATGGAAAAAGATTAACTAGGAAATTCAACGTCACTCAAGAACTAATGAACTAAGAGATACAAAAATGAGTTTCTTTAAAATTAGATAGTCATTTTGTTTTACATTTTCAAAACGTTTTATCAGAATGTATATAATGATTTCAAAATAGTGTATATATATATATTTAAATTACGTTTATTTTTAGATATTCTATAAAAATAAACACATTTTTAAAGTAGTACAAGGAGTGTACCTTTCACCAATCTCTATTTCAACAAACACTGGTAACCTCTGACATTGATGTTCAATAATACAGAGGTCGGTGGCTCAGCGGTAAGTCTGAGGGCTTACAACGCTAAAATTCGGGTTTCGATACCCTGATGGGCAGAGCACAGATAACCTATTGTGTAGCTTTGTGCTTAACAACGAATAAAAAAATCCCACAATAACAGAGGTTCGAGAGGTTAGCAAGTTGACCCTATTTGACATGATGTAAGTTGTTTAGTTTAAGCGCAAAGCTGTACAACAGAATTTGCACTGTACCCATTACACGGATTAAACCCTAAATTATAGTGTTATAAGCACTCACCCTTACAGTTGAGCCACCAAGGGAGAAGGTGTAAGTATATGTGAAAGGCGAAGCGAACGATGGAATTAACAGGAAGTTTATTTTAACGGATTGACGAGAACAGCTGAAGGAGGAATTATGTGGTAATCAAGATTACAATGAAAAGAAAACTGACAGACTGGGTTTAAACGGTTAGCCAAAAACTGAAAAAAGTATGAACTTTCACAGTTTCTCTAATTCCTATTGTAGTCGACTCTAGTTGAAATTAAACTGTCAAGTGGTGTTGTGATAACAACCCTCTAGCTGAACCAATATCATATACCCTCCCATTAGGTAACATAATTCATACCAACAGCTGATAACTAATGTTGCACTACATCGATGGAGGAGGTTGTCATCGAACGCGAAAAAAGGATTATGTAGCCTCAATATATCACAATTCACCTCTCTGAGATATGAGGGGGACCATAGTGCTGAATAGCCTCAAACTCTCTTGGGATGAGATAATATAAAGGCAAGTGCATGCCGAATACTACACCAAATTCAACTTTTTGATCATCTAGGTGTACTATGGCAAACGTCAAGAATGAAACTCAACTTATTATTAGAAATTATGAAATCAGTAATACGAAGTTCTAAACTTTATTGTATGGATACCCCAACTCTATTGCTGCCCATTTAAATTAACTTGTAAAGTAATACCTGTCTTCTCAGACTCAGGTTTGCTGTTTTTTATTGCAATCAACTTTACTTACTTATTAGGATATTCAAGTTTTTCACGTTAAGTAATTTTGAAAGGTGATGATTTTTTTTTCGTTTGAAAATTCTCTTGAGAGTTTTAATAAGAGTGTGGATTTTTGTCTTAATTTTTTTTACATTAGCCATCGTCGTGTACGAATACAGACTGGGAGTACTAGGTTTACGTCACATTAGCTGAATATGGCAAGAAACTGCTATTATAATGGAGTTGCTAGAATTTCCTCCATATCAGAGACCAGCTTTAGGTGTGGATTCCACATCATACAGGATCACCTAAGTTATGTCTTAGTAAAGGAATGGGGTAGGTAAAATCCCCCGGAACTCTACCCAAACACTAAGAAACTATGCATCGACATGCTAGATTTGGATTCGCCGCCTGGAAGGACATTTTCAATGTTGCTGCAGATACCCTTAAATTGATTGTGAAGTATGACATGCCATTACCACTGCGGAGCAGTTTCATGTTTACACTTTGGCATCTTTTACCAGGGAGGAATGAACAAGTAAGAGGCAGTTTCATATCCACATCCTTGTCTCTTATCTGTAAAGTATGACATTACGAGGGCAGTTTCGTTTCATGTTAACATCCTAGTTTCTTATCTGGAAGGTATGATATTACCCTGGGCAGTTGTATATTTACATCTTGGTCCGTGTTATCTACGAGGTGTGACACGTCAGATCAATTTCATATATATATGGTTCCACCTTGGTCAAACGTTACTTTAACACTTTATGAATTGAAATTTAGTATCATACAAACACTTGACTCATAATATATTTTGTCCTGTTCATATCTTGCCCAGTGATTTCATTTAGACTTTTTGATTTATGTTTAATATATTGTATTCAATATCATTTCGTGAGTTATATTTAATAAGATCAATGAACGGGTTTGGTGGTTAGGACGTTTGATTCGCAATATACGGGCCACTGGATCGAAACCCAATGCCAAAAACGTTCGCCCTTTCACCCGTTGGGTGACAGTTAATTCCACTATTCTTTAGTAAAGAGCACACTAAGGCAGGGATCGAAATATTGCATTCCCGAGGAATTTAACTTCGCTTGAGGAATTTAATCTTTTTAGTTGGCTTTCCCGATCGGAAATGCGTGTTTCATCCGCATTCCTTTAGTTGTGACCAATGAAAGTGAACATATTGCATTGATTAAGTTAAAAACAAAACAAAAAACAATTCATGAGGAAATACAACTTTACATCAGGGAATGTAATCTTCCCTCGAGTGAATGTAATTTTATTCTACATTATTTCTAACCCCTATTGGGGTTGGAGGGGGTTGTGCGGAGCAATTGTTATTTCTGTAGTCGGCAGTTCAAAATGAGTAATTTTACGATAAACAAACAAACAAGACTGTAAACGACCATCATGTAGTTCGTTTGTGAGACAGTATAAATAACTGTAAATAAATACTGT